AACATCGACCAGACTACACAGCGCAAGAACCCAGAAGACAGAAATCTTAAGACTCACCGCCCTGATGACGGAGGCAGTATGACCTCTGAAACGTTGGTTAACATCGACCAGACTACACAGCGCAACAACCCAGAAGACAGAAATCTTCATACTCGCCGCTGTGAAAGCCACAAATCTTACATTACTTTGTTCTGTCTCATTAATTTCTGCGTCACAGAGAATGCAATATTTTTCCAGCTGACGATCCGCGAGAGTCACGTAAGAGAAAAGTTGTCTTTGCATATTACGCGACTTGGAACAAAGACTAATGAACACGATAATATTTACTGCAGGTGGTGGTTGACACCCCTGTCATTTTTATTTCTTTCATTCCTTTTGTAGCGTTACATTCTCCTTCTCTCATTCTTTGCCTCCCTCTCAGGCTCAGAACTTCTCATGTAGATATGATGGCGGAGAAGTCTGAATGCTGTAGCAGATGTCAAGATGTAAAAAGATTCAAGGGGGAGAAGTGTTTGTAGGGTAGCAATGTAGAGCGCCTCGGCTTTACTTCAGCGACGCTTTTGTGCGTGGGTAGCAGGAAGTCATAATATTGAGCACACTTACTTTGTATCTCAGAATCCAAGCGAACTAACAGCAATTTTGCTAGATGCTGGTCGGTCACAGTGGTTTAGTTAGCCATGAGCTGTGCCAGAGAAATCTGTCGCTTTGCGCGCGACAGATGCACCTAGAGGCAGGCGACAAGTTGTGCGAACCTGTATTATGGTCGGATGCTTTGTTTACTAACAGGGGAAGAACACATTACCACACAGCCTGTCTGTAGTCTCACTTATTCGCTACCTAACTACCTCTAAGTCTCTCTGGAGACACGAGTTGTCACGAGATGAGAATTAAACAAATCAGAGTAGCCTTTGATACTTGTACTATCCGATAAAGTCTCTTGAGCTCCAGACGTAGCTGAATTTTATTATGACGTGGTGTAATTTAAGGGCGATAGTTTTTCCAGAAACTACTGTACATTTCTTTGCATTGGATACAGAAAGAAATGATGAAATGTAGAGGAGAAAGAAAGAGTTGATGAGATATAAGGAAATAAAGAACGAAGAAAGAAAAATAGAAGTGATAAAATAGAAAGGACAAATGCAGATAAAATCAGAAGAGAAAGTGAAAACCGTATATAAAGAAAACCATAAAGAATGAGGATCTTTACATGTTGTAGAGAGGGACCTGCAAATGCACGTGGGAGGATGGGAGGAATGTTCCTGCAGCTACAGTGAGAAAAGGCCCCCCCCCCCCGCACCCAACTCTGCTTTTGACTTTGGTGAAACAGATGAAAATACCGTGCAGAGTCGGGGGGCGAGACATGTGTCCGGCGAGGACGGCTGTTATGCTGAAGCTCTGGCAAAGGACGTGGAATAACTGCAGGCTCATAGCAGTGTATGTGTTTTGTTACAGCTTGTTTGTCCAAAGTTGTCAGTTTTGTCGCCAGATTCCTCTTTTTTACTCCCTTCGCTGGAAAATAAAATGTTAAAAAAACGAGAAACGCACCACGAATTACGGACATATTTTTCACTCACCCTCCACTTTCATGTCACGTTCTTCTGTACAGAAAGGGTGAGACATGTTAAATTACACCTTTTTTGTCAGACAAACAGGATGTCATTATAAGGGGGGGGGGCATTGACTGGAAAATGAAGAATTTTATTCTACTATGAACTGATGTATAATTTATATGTGCAATACAAACTCCGTCTTCTGCGGTTTTTATGCTAATGCATAAAGTGATCAACAGTTTATACCAGTCAAATCTGCGGCTATAAATAAAAGATAAGGTCTGTGCTGCCACATATTTACGTTTAAGTGCCCAAATTTTTACCATAATTGAGAATGATTCATTGTTTATTTCTTGTAGTGCACTAAATGATTCGTGTGGAAACTTAAATTTGTAGACACATTAAGAAAAACTCGATTATACATGTGTGATATCACATTCTTTCTTGTAGTAATTTTGCTTTTCCAGTGTGCACAGCTGATTTTAAGAAAAACCCCAGAGGAACAGAGATTTAGGTGTCGTGTGTCGCATTTAATATTAACTTTTTTCAAAGTGCCATCACCTTCACACAGCAAGTTTATAGTTCATTTCTCTTCATTACGCCATTGCACCTTCCAAATCTGTTCACAGCCGTCGTCCTTTCAAACTCCATGTTCCGATTGTATGTAGGCTTAATCATTATCAGATTCTAACACAAATTTCAAAATACGATCGTCACTGCATCACCAATCAAAATATATACTAACAGTGTTAAACTTTAAATTCAATAACAAGTACGATAAAATCTTCGTGCGAAATTTGTTTTGAAAAACTGACGGTACTTTGAAGAAAGTCAAGCTTAACAAATGTGTCGACTTAATAGAAACGTCTGTCATAAATCGTCCTGAGGAAAATCAGAAACGTTGTCTCGATACAGCATTTAAGCGCTCATCTTTATTTTCGAAGCGTCTCGGATTGGATTCTCGGCCCTGCGGTTGGCTGTCCTAGCTGAGGGTTTTGGTTATTTTCTTCAGTGCCTCCAGACGTCATGGGACATTAGGCCTACCTTAAATATGGGAGAAAACTGCCTTTACAGGGCGTAACTGTCATTCATCGTTAAATAAACCAAGACAGAAAAAATAAATTGCCGTCATAAGACACACCACAACTGAAGCAGAGTGGTGACATTATTTATGAATCACACTGTAATTTAAGCTTTACCTTCGTATTCATTTATTTCCCTCCTCTGCGCGTGACTTGGTTGACTTTTTATAAGCATTCAGATATTCTGATGTTTGTAAAAGTACTTCGTGTTTGAAATAACACAATTTAAAATAAACTCGTTATAATACATAGTCTGTACTGTGTTCTGAAAACTCTTGGCGTTTCCAGGCGAATAGATAACCAACCAGCCGCTGAAATGAATAACAAATACCGCGTGGAATATAAATTGCAAAGAAGCCAACCAGACATGCTTATTAAGAAACTTCGTAATTGGTATTTTATGTTTACAAATTTTTTTTGTAGAGATAGCCTATTTTATATACAACATTCGCCATCATTAAAACTTTCTGATATTTACGATTGCAATACATACTTTGCAACATAACGGGGATAGTTTGCTCGTTACGAAGGTGTTAGGGACGTATCATGTTAAGGAGAGTACATTATTTCGTGCGAGAAAATTTTTTGTATGCAATAATAATAATAACAGTAACCATAACCGAAATATTTTCCTTTTCCTGACCAAATTCATTCAAATGGCTAAATTTATAAAAACCTTTTTTTTTTAATGAGTTCATTTCCGTCTGAAACGTCCAGTAGTAAATGTTTTATGTCAATTTTTCTGTACATGCAACTCACCCTCGTGAATCACAAGCGGATACATCCACTACTTTACAGCCATTAAATCGTGTTTGAACCATTGAATTGACTGTAAGGTGAAACATCACATGTGAGAGCTTGGAAATTGTCAGACATGAATCTAAATATACGGCCCGATCAATCATGCTTGGAGAAGACACTTTCTGACACTGCAGATGTTAATCAACGCTGTTTGGCAAATCGTGTTCTAAGGGCGTATCAAGATGCCAGGGGCAGGCAGCTGCACGCCGCGTAGCGTAATATCGTCAAGGTTATTGTTTGCGGCGTGACAGTGGATGGACCAGCGTTTTCTAAAACTTTCTTGTACC